CTCACATGGCATGAGCTGGGGGTCCTTCACCATTCTGGTGAAGACGCCAGAGTTGATTCTTCCTAAAACTTGGTACCCAAAGCTGAACATGACACTCCAGATGTGGTCTGACCAAGGAAGATTAAATAATTCTATCACCTTCCTGGGCCTGGAAATTGTACCTCTCTTAATGATGCATAAGGCCACATTCACTCTTGGCTGGTGTATCACATTATTGGCTTATATTGAACTCTCAGGCTAAAATCCACAGATATTTTCAGGCTATCTAGTCAGACTACCATTATCATATATTTGTGCAAATGATTTTTTGAACCTAGGTATAGGCTTTACATTTTTATCTGTGTCCTTTCTTTCTAAAAAAGATATATGCTTTATAGATATACAGATAATCAGGACAGACACCCAGCCAAATTGTAAGTTAGATAAGGTTTCTTTTGAAATTTCCATTTTTCAGTTTTTCAACTTTTTCTTCTTTTCCCAGTGCCTACTCCTTTCACTTACAAGACTCATTATCCTTTCCAGTTATCAAAATATTGTTTCAGATCTTTTATTTACATAGAGGTACAAATGTCTGATAGCAGTTTAATTTTTTTTTTGTTCCAGGAGTTCTTGTTCAATCATTTCAATTGTGTCTGACTCTTTGTGATTGTATTTAGGGTTTTTTTTTTGGCAGAGATACTGAAGTGCCATTTCTTTCTTCAACTCATTTTATAGATGAGGAACTGAGGCAAACAGGGATAAGTGACTTGCCCAGGGTCACACAGCTAGTAAGTATTTGAGGCCTGATTTGAACTCAGGAAGATGAGTCTTCCTGATTCCAGGTCCAGTTTTCTATCCACTGTGCTACCTAGCTGCCCATACTTCCAGGATCATTTTAAAAGGGATCAAAGCTAAAAGGGATGAAGCATTAATCATAGGACCCTAGACTGAAAACTGGAAGGGGTCTTTAGGAACCATGTAGTTCTATCTTTCCATTTTACAGAGGAGGAAACTAAAGCAAGTAAGTTAAGTGACCTACCCAGATTATACATCTAGTGCCTGAAGTGGGCTTTGAACCCATGTCTTTTTTATTCTAAGTCCAGTGTGCTATTCACCAAGGTATACTGGTAGGGGATGATCTGCAAGATATGAAGTGTTCTCAGAGCTTCTGAAGTCATGCGGCAAACACTGATAAATAGCCTATTCCCTTGTCTGATCCTATATACAGTCCTCAACACATACATTAGTCCAAATTCAGTTCCAGGTCTTCTAACTATTGGGGCTTCAACAGCATAAAGTATTTGTATTTCTGATCCTTGAGGTCTGATTACAACTTCAGGCTTAGTCACTCTGTAACTTTGATTATAGTTCCTTCAAAGCTGTAATCAACCTGGAGATTGCTCAAGATGCCTGCTAGAATATGTGAAGGTAAAAAAGCATGGCATACAAAGAAAAGCTTTCCTTTTTCTTCTTTTAGGACTTTTAGCAGTTATCTTAATTTCTTGGAACATAGATCAGCAGGCAATCCCTCTCATGTGGACAGATCCCATATTATTCTGTATTGTTAAATGCTAATAGTGAAACTTTAAAGCATGATCACTTGCTAGACAACAGGTGGTCATTGCAAGCTAAGATTCTCATTGGTTGGAAGGCCATGAGAGCCCAGTGGCAAGGAGAAAAGGCCTCAACTTGTATGTTTCAAGAACTTACTCAATAGGGTGTTGTGCTGATAATATCTCAACTCACTGCCAATTTGTGCAACATGCTGTGCCATTAGGGAACGACTGCTGAGTAGTCAATGCTAAATGGAAACTCAGGAAAGGCAACTGAACCTTTTATGGCAAGGGGGACTGGAGTCAAGGGACAAAGTGTTTGCAGTCTTTTCCTTACTCCATTTTCGCATTTTTTCTGAAACAATAAAGTTTCTTTTAGGAACAAAAGATGGAATGACCAAAACTTGAAGTTAACTGAACTCTATTTTGTTATTTGTTTCCTCAAATGTAAAATTCTTTACTAATACATAACAAGTCACCATTTTGGTCTACAAGTCCATTTGGCAGAGTGACTGTTGGTGGTAGGAGTGGGGGAAGGTCAAGAAGAAGAAAAGAAAGGGGCAGTCAATGCTTACCTGAAAAAAAAAATTACTCCTGCCCCTACCAATATGAGTATTTCACAACTGCTGGTAAAAGACAGCACTTTGAATGTTTTCTACCCACTAAAATAGCTTACAAAAAATAAAACAATACGTGTGTGTGGGGGGGGGCGTGGAGTGAGCAGATTTTATAGTCCCTGCCTAACTTTCTGTTATGAGTCTTTCTTTCTCTATGTCAAAGAGCCAAGATATAACTAACTTTAAGCAATAAAGTAGGGGTAGAGAAATACAGAGACACAGAAACAGACAGAGAGAGAGATAGGCAGAGAGACAGAGACAGCAAGACAGAGACAGAGAGACACAGCCACAGAGGCATACAGATCCAGAGAGATAGAGATAGAGAGAGGTGAGGGACAGAGAAAGACAAAGACAGAGAGACAGGTAGAGAGGGACAGATACAGAGACAGACAGAGATACAGAGATAGAGATATAGCTACAGAGACAGATGTGGAGACAGAGACAGAGACAGAGACAGCAAGACAGGCAGAGATAGATATGGGAAGAGATGGAGAGAGAGAGAGAGAGAGAGAGAGAGAGATGGCTAGAGAGAGAGAGAGAGAAGCTAAAGCTCCCTCATTCTCTTTTTCCAAAAAAAGAGGGGGCTGAGTAAGTGGAGTGTGGGGAAGTTAATCATCCAGAGCCTTTTAGGAAAATTGGGACATTTTCTCTAGGAGAGAAGTCTAGATGGATCCAGTTACTGAAATACCTTTTGAATACAAAACAAGACCAAAGGAAAATAAAGAACAAACAGAAATGAAGCTTAACCTGTAAAGTTCAATTCTGCCCAGCTGTGAAGGGCTAAACCTAAATTCCGTTTAAGAGAATAAGCGAAGTGTAGAGTGTCCAGGCTCACAGACACAGGTCAGAAACTGCGCCCAGGAGAGCAGGTGCACCAAGTGTCTCTGTAGTGTTTAAGGTGTCAGCGCGTGGGGGAAGCTAGGGAAACAGACTGGGGTGGGGGTGGGGAGAGAAAGAAAGTAGGGCAGAGGATGTCACTGAAGGAAAAGAACTCCCACAAAACTTGTAGTAAAAGCCACCTGGTGGCAGGAGGCTAGGCACCCTGGGATAAGAATGACGAGTGACATAGGAGAGTGGAGGGGGAATGAAGACAGGAAGTGGATTGAGAAAGGATGATGAGAATTGAGGGGAAGATATGGAGAAGAAGAGTGGCAATATAGGAGTAACAATGGCTAAAAGGGAGGAAAAAGTAGGAAGAAAGGAAGAGGGAAGACTGAGAAGAGAAGTAGAAATGGGAGTGAGGCGGTGGAGCACAGGATTGTAAAAGAAGTACTTAAATGTGAGAAGATTGGGGGAAACGGGATTGAAGGAAGGAAAGAAAGATTAGGGAGGGGAAAGAGAATATTAAGGGGATGAAAGTGGGGCTGAAGCCTGAGGAGGTGAAGGGGGAAAGTTAGATTGGGGAGAAGAGACTAGGGAAGGAGAATTCTGAAGAATGAGGAAGTGGGGAGGAGTGTTCGGTTGAGTGAGGCAAACTAGGGAAATAGGGAGTTGAAAAAAGAAAAAGTAATGAAGGAGTGGGAAGAAAGTAGGTGAAGGGAGGGCTCAAGAATAAGAAGCGAAAGGAGGCTGAGGAGGGAGAAGACCGCTGAAAAAAACTCATGGGGGAAAGGATGAGCTGAGGGAGACGCTTGGGGAGAAAGCAAGATTGAGGAAAGATGGGTTGAAGAGGGAATACAAGTTGATCCGTGAGATGGTGCAAATTAGGCTGAAGGAGAAAATCTGGGGGAAAAAGAACAAAGTGGTGGGGGAAACGCTGAGCTGAGAGAAATCTTGGTGGGAGGGGGGTGAAGAATGGGGAGAGAAGGTTTGAAGCTAAGGGGATTGGAAAAAAGGCTGGGGTGAGTGAGAAGACGAGGAACAAAAAGATATCTGGGGTTCGAGGAGTGAGGTGATGGGGTAATCGTTGGGCTGGGCGAGGAGGGGGAGGAGGAAGGAGATGATAGGGTTAGGCTGGGCCAAGTCAGGAGAAGTAGGTGAAAGAGTGTGAGCTTGGAAAAGAAGCCGGGTAGTGAGGGTTCGTGGCTGTGAGGGGTTCGGGACGGAGCTGGGAATTGGGGGACCGGAGGGCTGGAGACAGGGCAAGGTTCCGCTTTGGAGGCGGGTCCCGGGGTAGGCGCGTGGGGCTGGGCGGGGCGCGGTGGCACCGGGAGCAGAGCTGAGCCAGCTGCTAGCGGTGGGAGGGGTGGAAGGGCGGCCGCGGCGGCTGCGGCGGCGGCAGCGCGGGGAGGGAGAGAGGGAGGGGATCGTAGGAGGGAGGGAGGGAAAGAGAGAGAAAGAGGGGAGGGGCCCAGCCCCTTGTCTCCTCAGCTCCTCTCCCTCATTCTGCCCGGGGAGGAGCGGGGCCAGCAGCCGCCTCCACCACCGCCTTGTCTCCACGCACGCCCAGCCTCCTTCCAAGCTCCTTAAACTCCAGCGCCCGGTCCTGTCCCGTCCAGTCCCATCCCGTACAGCGTCCCGTCCTATCCCGTCCCCCCCCCGGGGGGGGGGGGGGGGGGCTTCCTCCTCTCCCTCTTCGCAGCAGCCCCGCGGAGCTTCCCCACGTTGTCCTCTATTCCCGGGCTGAGCCCCTTGGGCCGGTCTGTCTGTCCGTCAGTCCGCCCGTCCGCCCGTCCACCCGACCGCCCGCTCCCGCTCTCCCGCCGCTCGCTCGCGTGGCTCCTTTGTGTGCGGCGGCGGCTCCCGCTCCCGCTCCCGCCTGGCTTGGGCTCCCACCCTTCAGCCCTCCGGTCCTGCAGCCCCCGGGCGCCCCCGGCCGGGCGCCCCAGAGGGTGGATCTATCGGCCGCCCGGCAGGCAGGCAGAAGAGGCGGCCCCCCTCTCGCCCTTTTCCCAGAGGGGCCCGGGCCCCGGCCCCCGGCATGGATGTGAGATTCTACCCCGCGGCGGCCGGGGACCCAGCCGGCCTGGACTTCGCTCAGTGCCTGGGCTACTACGCCTACAGCAAGGTGACCGGGGCTGGGCTGGGAGGGGGAAGCGGGGGCCCGGGAGGGGGCGCAGGGGCTTCCTCTCGGTGCTGGACCAGGGACTTGTGCCGGTCCCTCCCCTCCCCTTCCTCATCTTTCCACTCCTGTACCACCGCGCTTTCTTCCTCGTCTCCCCACTTTTAAAAAAATTTTCATGTCTTCCTTTTTCTTCTTTCTTTTCGGTCCATTTCTACCTTGTTCTGCTTCACTCTACATCCTCCTTTATTCGTCCTAACCCCCTCCCCGTCTTTCAGTCTTTCTCCATTCCTTTCCCTTTTCTTTTTCTGTCTCCTTCCTTGCTTTATCCTGCGCCCCTTCTCTTTTTTTCTGCGCCCCCTTCTTCGCTTCTTTTTCTGACCCTTCGTTTTCCTCTTTCTCACCTCCCCCTGTTCCTTCCACCTCTTCTCCGTTCCCTTTTTCTACCTCAGAGCAGTTGAGCCCTGGCTGAGCTTTGAGATAAGAAGCCCTGTCCGGTGACCACCCCTAAGGAACTGGAGGGGGGGAACACGCTGCTTCTTTGTTATATTTACTGTTATTAGTAAACACATTACGCGCCCACAGTGTGCTTAGGCGCTGGACAGAACCTAGAGGAGGCACTGTCCCTTGTCTCCTGTTGCCTTTTTCCCTCTTCTCTGCTTGCCCAGCATCACAGACTTGTACCAGTGCCCCTGCCGGTATTAACCCATAGAAGACCCCTAGACGTTATCGTTTGAGACTGGTTGCCCTAGTCTTCTTGCTATGGAAAGGAGCAAACTTTTGAACAGGTCGTGCTTGAATGGGGAAAAGTGGCAGTGGCGCCTCTGGTTGCCTCACTTATTCACTTGATCAGCAGTTTTTTGTGGTTTGGCTTCTAGAATTGGGCAAGTGCCTCTTAAAGGTTTAGCTTTCGACTTTTTATTTAATTTTGGTTTGTTTGTTTTGATTTTTGGTGATGTGATTGTGCCCCAGTTCAGTTGCAATCAGAGTTTTATCTACTGGCCCAAACTTAGCAAACTAAGATGGGGTGAAAGCCCCCTGATCCATGAACACTGTTGTCCTCACGCATGTGCAGCGGGTACCCTAACAATTTATATTCTTCCTGGAGCCTCTGTTGGCTAAACTCATGTTGGAGCTTTTGAGAAAATATGACCCAGGATGGGATCTTTAGGGAAGAAAAAGTGCTGTAGATAAACACATGCTTTCTTGAAATGTGGGTCCCTTCCTCTTTTCATGTCCCTTTCCCCCTCCTTTTTCCAAACCCTAGTTTATGATTGTTTGGATAACAGAGGAGGAAATACGGAATCTTCCGAAAGAAAGGTGCTATACAAAACTACTGAATAAATAGCAGGAAGAGAAGAAATTTTTTCTTGAGTAAGAAACAATTTACTGTGTCTTAATACAACTAGATGCTGCTATTGCATTGCTTTCTATTTGTTTATTCTCAGTTTGATACTTTAGTACTAGACTTTCTAAGAAATGACTAAATGGTTGTCTTCTTTGGTTGCTGGGGAAATGTGCTGGGCTCCTGTGATGTGTTTAAAGCACAGAAAAGGGAGAAAAGGCCTTGTAGCTAGAGTTAAGGCTTACCTTCTTCTGTCTTTTGACTTTTGATTAATCACCTTATTGAATGTTTCAAAAATCCCAGGATGTGCATTCAATGTAATTAAGTATGCATTTATTGTATTTGAGGATTAAAGTAATTTTGTAGAAGGGTGTTATTTATCATTTACAACTTATCTTGTATTATACAGACCTTGTATATCTTGCATGTAATTATTTTAGAAGCCATTACCTCTCATGGAATGACTACTTCTTTCCCTGATTTAAGATCAGCAACACTTGAATGACACCAAAATAGAAACCTATTGTATTAACCCAGTCACTGCAATGCGTGCAAAATCTGTATTCGAAAGGATCCCAAGGGGACTTCAGAAGATCATAGAATATATGCAGGAAATTGTGGGTGTTTTTTTGAATCCTTTTTTGGGGAGGGTAGGGGTGGAGAAGGTTAATTAGGACAATTTATTTCGGTGGTGATATATAAAACTTGAAAACAGTCAGTTACTGAAATACTTAAACAACTTTTAGGAATAATGGCACAAGTTGGATTATAGTCGTGTTTTCTTAACACAGGCTGTTTCTGAAATAAGTTGCTTTCTGAGTAATTCCTAAATCTGGTTTTAAGATCACTTAATATAGTTAGGTAAATTGACTAATAATGGAAGTCTAAAGGTTATGATTATTTTAGGCAATATTTGTGTTTACTTTCCACTAACTAAAAAACAAAACAAAATGTAGCCTTCTTCAAAATGAACTGGATTTCCTTTGCTACCTTAAACTTAAGGACTTTGCTAAGAACCCACCTGTGTTTTATAAATTGTCACTGAAGGTTTTCGAGATGTTTGATTTTTTTTTCATTTCTTTTTGCTCAAAATATTGTGTAAATGGAAATGTCGATTTTCAATATTTTGCTTATATAGTGATTTTACTTAAGTTTTAAAGTTTTTTTAAGAACTTCAAATGTACAGATTTTTATGCTAATATATATGCTCATTCAATGAGTGAATATTGGGGTTTATGATGAGCATATAAAAGTTGGAACTCACCAACATATTAATATGTCTGTCACATTTAATAATCAGTTTACTCTCAATTCTCCTAAGATTTAAGTTTGGTGACTTATGTTGACTTTTTGGCTTATGGATAACCAATCTGAAGAAATTCTTTTGTGTTCTCTTGTTTAATGAGAGTCCCAGTGATTTCAGAAATATATAACTGTGAACTTCCGTCTTAATGTGCAAAAAGTTCCCTCTTTTAAGTTGATTTGTGGAACTTGACATAAGATTTTATATAATTTCTCTTAAATACCAGTGTGTAATACATACATATATATATATTTGTACACATCTCAGATGTATGTTATTACATTTATGTTTTGTATTAAGATCATTTTAGAATATCAGTGTCTAAGAAAGTGTACTGTTATCTATGGAAAATGGTTGAAAAATTTCTGGAGGTTCAAGAGTCATTACAAGTAAGAAAATGACTTTACATAAAATATAGTCAAGATCATTCAGATCAGTTAATAATTCATGAACTAGTCATTGATGTATAAACCTACAAGTCTTCTATATTTCTGAAAGGCTAATTTCCATTTTAATTTCCAGTGAACATCTCTACTGTTTGAACACCTTTTCTGATGTGAATATCAACTGAAACTAGCACCTATGGATTTTTAAAAGGCTTGTTTTGTTCAAGTGAATGGGTTACCCATTGACTCTACTTGTCATTTTCTTGCCCCTCTATACCATCAGCTTGTCTGTGCATCAATAGGATTGTAGTATACAAATAAACTAGTAGATAATTTGTTTCAATATTGGAAGTCTCTTACCTCATTTTCTTAGGCAAAATGTATAAAGTGTGTCTAATAGGAAGGCAAGAACAGTGTTGAAAGTGAGGGTAAGAGAGTGAACAGATTTAAAGCAGAAGAAAATGGGGATGGAAATGGCATTGGATTAGGATGGAATAGAAAACAAGATGATGTTATCAGAAGATAGTCATAGAATGTTAGAATTGGAAAAGGACCTTAGAGGTCACCTATTTCACTTTATTGTAAAGATGAAGGAACTAAGATTTAGAGAAACTAAGTAATTTGCCCATGGCCTCACAGTTAGTGGTGGGGTTAGGTCTAGATAGATATGACTGTGACTCTTTCCAAGCATTTTCTTTGAATATTTCAAAGTGTTTCCAAAATCAACCGATGAATCGATTATCTGTATGGGGACAGGATGTTGCAAAAATCTTAGTACAGTTTAAAGCTTTTCAAGCTTCAAACTGCATCATTGATTAATTGTTTGTCCAGATTGTCCCAAAAGTCTTAGTGCACCATTAACCTATTGAAGCTTAAAACTTTAGGTTATTAAAAACCTAAAATGGCACTAAAACTTTTGAGACACCCTGTATTGTATTTCATTCCTATTTAAATCAAATTTTGATTTTAAATTATTCTATACTTTACTTTTATTTTTTATATACTTTTATAAGACTTTTTTTAAAAAAAATTAGCATTAGTACATTTTTTTCTTTCGATCTTTAGGTTGAAGTAAAACCTTTAAAATGAAATCGAATAGTGATCTATCTCTTTGTAGGGAAGTTATGAGCCAGAAAGATAGTGAGTTAGAAGAAACATAAAAGCAAGAGAAACTCTTCTTGTGCTATTGTTCCATCAATGTTGGAGGTGCCATGCTACTCCTAGGAGGGAGTTTAGAGGAACTGATGAATAGAGCAAGACAGGAAAGATAAATAGCACTTCATCTGTTGCAGTATTAAGTCTACATAGCAGTACCCAGGTTCTCTTTCTTGAAGTTGTGTAAACTACTAGAACATTAATTAGACAAATCATTTTTATTTGTATTTGTATGTAAGTGTAAAAACAGAATCAAACCCACAAATACATGATTTTAAAACTCTGGACCATTACTTCACTTCATTATCAGGAATGTTTTGGCTGCAAGTGGAAGCAGATGGTTTATCTGATTATAATTCTGATTTGGCAGCTTGGGTTTTTATATTTTGTTAAATGAATAATATAGGCTTAAGTTGATGTAGATCATTCCTAGGCAATGAAATAAGGTAATTTTTTTAAAAAAGTTATAAACTTGTGACTTATTCCTTAATATCAAACCCTAGTATAGAAAGAGAAGTTCATAATTGAGAAAAATGTGTTGGTTAAAAGGAATTATTGCAAGGATGGTTTCTTAAAATTCTTCCATCCTTGGAGTCATACTTCTATGGAGTCATACTCAAAGTGTAACCAAGTTTAGACCACCCCCAAATTCTGAATCCCTCTATGCTTTAGGAAGAATGGAATGAAGGGGGGAATATTTGCTAAACACCTACTATGTGCCAGGTGCTGTGCTAAGTACTTTACAAATATCATCTCATTTGATCTTTCCAACAACTCTGGGAGGTAGATGCTATTATTATCCCGGTTTTACAGTTGA